TTTGTATTTTTAGTAGAGAGGGGGTTTCACCATGTTGGCCAGGTTGGTCTCAAACTCCTGACCTCAGGCGATCTGCCCACCTCAGCCTCCCAAAGTGCTGGGATTATAGGCATGAGCCACTGCGCCCAGCTGGAAGATGATTTTTAGCATATGCTGTAAATCAAACATTTTAAAGTCTAACAATTATTTCTGAAAAAGAGAAATATACCTAATAGACATAATTCCCACACTCAAAATCTGCACTTAATAGATTCTAATTTGTTCTAGAGAAAGCATTTATAAGGACCAGTAAGTCTAGCTGCAATAAACATGTCCTAGAATCAGTAACCAATGAGCACCTTTGTTACTAAAAGTGGAAAAAGTCATAAAAAGTCTTCAACTTCACAGATAAGCAGCTTGCTAAAAAGTATTTTCTCCAAACAAAGACAGAGGAGTACTCCAAAGGGGAAGTCTACATTGTTTGGTTTTGTTTTCTGTTTTTTTGTTTATTTATTTGTTTTAGAAACAGGGTGTCAACTCTGTGGCCCAGGCTGGGGTGCAGTAAGTAGCATGATCATGACTCACCGCATCCTCGAACTTCCGGGCTCAAGTGACTCTTGCCTCAGCCTTCTGTGTAGCTGGGGCTATAGGCATGTACCACCATACCCTGCTAATTTTTAATTTTTGTGGGGACAGGGTCTTGCTATGTGACCCTGGCTGGTCCTGAACTCATAGCCTCAAGCATCCTTCCACCTTGGTCTCCCAACATGCTGGGATTACAGGCGTGAGCCATTGCACCCACCCTGTGTTGCTGCTGTTGCTATCAGGGCAACTGTGACATTTATGCTTCAAGGAATTTTTAGATTCAAATGCAATGGCCTCTCTGAAGGTCCTTGAGATAAGACAGTGAGTGGGAGAGACGTATCCTCTACTCTCTAGCATGGTACCACGAGCTGTATGGACTTAGCAGGTCACACCCTCACCTGGGCTCCAGTTATCAACTGTCAGTGGGGGTTCTCAACCCGATCACTGATTCTAAGATGTGACCACATATCAGAATCTCACAGTATGCTTTTATCAGCAATAGACTGTTGAACCTGAACCCAACCTACTGAACCTAGAATGGGGAACAGGGAAAGTCTGTCCCTGCGTTTCTCCAGAAGAGGGCTGAGGTCTTTTCTGGCACTAAATTTCCCAATTCTATAGATTTTTTCTTTTCCTATTTTTTAAATGGACTATTACTGAATAGTTTTAGGTTTATGGAAAAATGGAGTGGCAAGTACAGAGAATTCCCACATATCCTCTCAGCCCCATGACTTAGTCTACCCAATTAACACCTTGCATTAGAGTGGCACATTTGTTACAACTGATGAGCCCATAATGAGATATACATACATACATACATACATATATATATGTGTGTGTGTGTGCGTGCGTGTGTATATACATACGTGTGTGTGTGTGTGTGTGTATGTATTTTAAGACAGGGTCTCACTCTGTCACCCGGGCTATAGGGCAGTGGTGTGATCTTGGCTCACTGCAACCTCTATCTCCCAGGTTCAAGCGATTCTTCTGCCTCAGCCTCCTGAGTAGCTGGGACTACAGGTGCCCACCACCACACCTGGTTAATTTTTATATTTTTAGTAGAGATAGGGTTTTGCCATGGCCAGGCTGCTCTTAAACTCCTGACCTCAAGTGATCTGCCCCCTCGGCCTCCCAAAGTCATACAGGCGTGAGCCAATGTGCCCAGCCCCAATAATGACATATTTTAACTAAAGTCCCTAGTTTACGTGAAGTCTGTAGTTCACCAGGGTTCACTCTTTGTGGTGTGCATCCTATGGGGGTGGGCAAACGGATAGTGACACACGTGCTACCTAGTTGAAAGAATGCCCTCTTGGGTTAGCTCTTACTCTCAAGAGCGGAACACCCCGTAGAGACAGAAGAGGAGGGCGATAGGCTACTTATATGCCCAGATCCTCAAGTGATGACAAATCAAAGATATTTACAGTGAACAGTGGTGCATGTGCCCAGCACCATAAACATGAGTCTACTTTTTTGCTTTGTAATTGTTCCTTTTTAGCACTTGGAGTATCTTTCCTACAGACTATACTCTGTTACTTAAACTACCAAACCCATGATTTCCTGAGAAAGGAATGTGCTTCCCAAACACAGTAATTCACAGGTTCTGTGTCTTTACAGCCTTGCGCAATCTTTTACAAATCTGAAACATAGCAACCAGATGTGGATAGAGATTACTTCTCTTGATCCAAAGACAACTGGCACTTGAGTTCTAAGAAAGTCTGGAGTTCAAAGAATGAGAATCTCAGCAAGGGAAAATGAAGCTCCTTAAACATACATTTTTGCACTGTTATCAAGTTATTTCTTAGGATTGATTCTAAGAATGAAATGGCTGTTAAAAAATTGTACTCTAAAGATAGAGCTGTTTCCATACATTGTATCAGAAACAAGGGGCAACATTTCAACATTTAAGTTTTCATATGCATTTATTTGTCAAATCTAACAAACATTTTCAAGCTTGTTAGAACTAAACAGAACCTACTGGAATCAATTCTATTGATATCTTTTTTTTTTTTTTTTTGGGATGGAGTCTCGCTTTCTTGCCCAGGCTGGAGTGCAGTGGCATGATGTTGGCTCACTGCAACCTCCGCCTCCCAGGTTCAAGCAATGATCTACCTCAGCCTCCTGAGTAGCTGGGATTACAGGCACGCACAACCACATCCAGATAAGTTTTGTATTTTTAGTAGAGACGGGGTTTCACCATGTTGGTGAAGCTGGTCTCAATCTCCTGACCTCATAATCTGCCTGCGTTGGCCTCCCAAAGTGCTGGGGAGCCACCGCCACCAGCCGATGGCATTTATTTTTTAACACAACAACTTATCACACAATAGGTACTCAATGTATAGGTTTTAATTGACCAAGAAAGTACATTTAAGAAAGTTTAGAAAACTTTGTCTTCCTCTGACACAATTCTTCACTATCCTTTTTTTTTTTTTGGCAATGAAACTTAGAAAAATTTCTTTTTCCGTAACACAAACATGTCAATCTTTCCCTGTAGCTCCTTCTTCCACTCCTCCTTCACTGTGCTGAAGAGATATTGAATTCTTCCAGATGTCTGCTTAGCTGGGTGGTTTCTGAACTCAACAGACTCTCCAGGTAGGTAGTTCCTGCACAGGGCTTTCCTGTCACTGGATCTATGACCGTTCCAACTTTGAAAATGATCTCGGCCAGTTCATGTTTCAAATGCTTTGTGCGTGGAACAGGTAAAGCTCTAAGAAGCACGATATCCCCAACTGTGCACTGCTGATGGGCATCGTGGGCAAAGTAGGATTTCCACTTATTATAATGCTTTAATCAATAGAGATCCAGAACAAGCCTGGTCACTTTCACCTTAGCAGTCCTTTGCATTTTTCTCCTAATCACCTCCCCCACTATCCATTTGGCATGGACAAGTGAACAAACTATGGACATTATGTGGCTTTGGTCACCTCTGCCACAACTGTCTGTGTAGCCACCTGCCCGGGAAGCCTTCTTTTTTTGTTGGTGGTGGTTTTTTTTTTTTTTTTTTTTTTTTTTTTTTT